ATACTGGCGTCCATTGTGCCTTCCCATTGGCTTCTAGGGGTCTTTTCAGCACTTGGCCATCTCATTTTGACCTTAGAATAAGGGTTTCAATTCGGTTTTCTTTCGTTCTTGTGTAGGGCTTTATCAGGTCCGTTGTGTGTGTGTATTGCGTTGTGTGTTTGCGTGTGATGGGTGAGTTTTTTGGGGCGGTTGGTGTGTTTGCGTGTGGTGTTTGGTTGCTTTTTGTGTTTTGGCGTGTGTGTGTTGCGTGTGTGTGTGTTGGGTGTTTGCGTGGTGTTTGCTTGTGTTTGCGTGTGTTTGCTTGTGGTGGTGGGATGTGTTTGATGGTGTGATGTGGTGTGTGTGTGTGTGGATGTTTGCGTTGTTTGTTTGCGTGTGTGTGGGTCTGTCTGTGTATATCAAATGTCTCCTTTGCCAGTCACCCAACGCATTTCCGGAAGACTGATGTGTTCATTGGTGGGTTTTCTTATATCATGTCCCCGATGGGCCTTTCTCTTTCTTCTTTCCCTCATCCGGGTGCCTTTGCCTCTCGTTGGCTCCCCGTGGTTTCTTTAATATTCTTCTGTAGATACTTAAATTTTAGTTTTTTTCTGGTCTTTCTCAGGCTCTCTTGTACTATTTCACTGCATATATACCATGTCCATAGTTTTCTGTAGGGAGTTTTTCACTCTTTGAGCTTTAATCTTATATTTAGGTTTTTCCTAAGTAAGCGGGTGACATAGACATGAGTTAATTTTCAAAGTTCGGTTAAGTTCTAGTGGAAAAAAGTTACGAGAACCTGTATTTTTCACCATTTATTTTACTTTTAATTTAAAAAGATATAACCTTCGTGGCGTTTATTTTTAACAAGTTTTTTATTGATCCATTTAGTTTATGTCGGTATTTTTGTTAGAATGGCATGGGCAGATATTTTTTTGTATAAAAGTAATAAATACCTATCATTAAATCAAAAGTAAATTGTATCAGTATACTCCGACATTACTTACATGGATAAATATCATTTGCACTTTATCTTTTTGATTGTAACTCGATTCCTAAAAGGTAAAGAATGCGTTTTCATAAAGGACTATACATCTATCGTCCATCATAATTCAACATACCCAATTTCCATTTCAACACTGAATAAAATATAAAGCTCAATCAAACACATTTATCTCTGTTTACTACAGTTTATAAAAACACACACTCCGATGTATGGCTAAAATCAAACCCCACATAGAGAACGAAACAGCCTACCACAATAAAACGACTTAGAACGACAAACGCAGGGAAAATGGAAGGGCGACTCAGGACCAGCCCCACAAAGCACGACCCTCAACAGCCCCCTCTCAGTCTCCTCACCCACTGTCGTCGGCGTCGTCCCGCCTAAGGATTCCTCAGATCTGAGATGGCGGATGAAGTTGGACCCTCCTTGCAGCGCGCGGTGGAAGGTCCCCGGGCCATCCCGGTGGAGTCGGCCACTGGCTCGTTTGGGGTCCGTCTCCTTCGCTTCGGCGGCCATCCACCTGTGCGCCGAGAGAGGGTGCTCGGTGTCATTGCTCAGGGTAAGAATGATGCGCGTTTCACAAAATGATCATAACAAAAATCAACAGGTTTGTTGTTACACTTACGGAGGAAATCATCTAGATGCTGCTTGATTCCTCAATTGAAATCTACATGTTTCATTTCATACCCTTAGAGATTAAATCGACTAAAATATATAAAATTCGATATTTCCATGCATTAATGTTAAATTTTCAGAAACACAGTCACCACTTTACTACAGGGACGCTTACCTTGCGCACTTCAGCCCGACTTGATGTCTTCCAAGAGCTGACCGCGGCTGTCGGGCGCGGGGGCGGGGGCAGCATTCCTGTCTACTTTCTATCACAGAAGGAGAGGTACTAATAGACCCTTGAGGAATTCGTCTTAAAACTTTCTAATGTATTCTGATTAAAGTGAAAAATGTAAATCTATCGTGTTAACACGGACGAGCCACTACCCTGAGGTTCTTGCCTTCCTGTACTGGTGGCAGGAGAGCTGAGCGAGTGTTAGGTCAGAGGAGGAGAGGCCCGCCGGAAGGCGGAGGAGGGGGCGGCTGGGGAGGAGCCGCAGAGCTCCCGGACAGGTGGTGGAGGCGGCGGTGGGGGAGGGGGGAGGGGGAGGAGCAGGGCCAGCAGGTGGTGTGGTGCCGGAGTCATTGACGAAACTGGGGGTGGCGGGGAGGAGCCTGCCTACTTAGGGGGGATCCGAGAACCTGGACTGCGCCTCGTAATCTTGCGAGGAAAAAAACAATCAGATCTATGAAGAAGTCCGGGGCGGCATGATTATGCTTAAATGTCAAGAGCATCAGCCTGTGCCTTCAACCTTATTCCCTGCTATGATGATTATAAATATAAGTATAGATATTAATGCATTTATATAGACATATCGGAGAGTTTGCGTGGTCTTTTTATGCATGAAGTCTCACCTTGTCTTCCCGGCGGACGAGGAGGGAGAGGTCTCGACTGCAATGGTGGCGAGCTGCTGACTGCCTTAGTGGTGGCGGCGGGGGGAGGGAATAACTAGGGTGGTGGAGACGGTGGAAAGGGATTTCAGTGGTGGTGGTGAGTGGTTGAGGGTGGATTATGGAGGAGTGGGTGGTGGAGGCGCGGATGCAGAGGAGCGTTGGAGGAAGTGGTCTGTTTTGGACGCTGCTTTGCCCGTCCCTCGAGGTGGCGGCGGGTGGAGTACCTCTGGTTCTCCCGCTTGGCCTCTTCGAGTCCGCCAGTTTGAATGATTAACTCGTAGACAACTTCCGCTCTCCGGCTCCTCCATCTGCTGCATTTTCTGCCGACCTGAGGAGGTTCCAGCAAATGGGGAGTAAAGTTTGGCAATCCGGTTGTGACCTCATCACTGCTTCAAGTCCGACATTTGCATAGGATAAACAATTGTTGCATTACGGAACTCTCTGGCGTAAGGTACTATGAATAAAGGAATGAATAGTAAAACCGCTACTATAAAATCACAAGAACAGTAACAGCTTACAAGTGCCGCATATACATTTAATTTCTAAGATTCCTGTCCGCATTTGAGCCAATTACTTTGATACTCACGGCTTTAAATCAATCCTTGAGGTCCTGTCAAACTTCTTGTCCGCGTTTCTAACGTAAGAGCTTATTGTCCTGATCGAAACCAGCGTGGCCACGTGGCTGGAAGTTAGTGGGCTCTCCGATCATGTATTTCCTGCAATTGAAATGCAAATTGTTCGTCCAGTGGGCAAAGGATGGAAGGATGGAAGAGGACATAAAAAGGAAGAGATGCAAGTCTTTGTCCAAAAGAAAGAGAAACATGATATATATCTCTTAATCTGTCTTCCTTTTTTTTGTTTTTCTTTTCCCCTTTTTGGAAAACAGACTGGCATTATAATAGCAACACCAACCTCCTTTTTACCTCAAAATTTTCTTCTTCTCTTTGCCTCTTCTGTTCAAGTTGAACTTCCCCTCCTCTCTTTATGTTCTCTCTGCACATCGCTTGTTATTGGATGGCTGGTGGACCGTCTGCCTGAGATTTTGCGCGTCGTCATGGTCTGCCTGGTTTTCCCATAGACCTCAATTGCTGCTGCTGTTTTCTGCTCCTTTTGCCGCATGCGCTCTGCTCGGGAGGCCAAGGTCGGGTCAACAGAAAGGCTATTGGAAAATATCAAGGGGATTCCATTGATTCTGGGGAGAGGGGGAGGGGAGAGGGGAGGGGAGAGGGGGATGGGAGAGTGGCAATAAGGCAAGAGGGTATATGAGGTATTCGAGTAGGGATTTCGGTGTATGGAGGTGTGGGAGGGGTAGGGAGGTGATATTGTCGGTCGTTCGTTCGATTTCTTTATCTGTCTTTCGTTCTTTATTGTATTTCGTGTAGGTCTTGCTTTCTGTCGCTTTGATTTACTTTCTCTTTAGTTCTTTCTCTTTCTTTTCCTCTTTTCCTCGATCACCTATCCTCTCCCTCTCCACTCTCTCCCTCCCCTCTCTATCTCTGCATTCCATTTTCCCTCCCTCGGGCCACCACTCCCACCCCTCAACTCCTCTCCGCAGACTACATCCCTCCTCACTCCAGAACATAGTAATGATAAGATTTAGAAGAAATAAGAAAATGGAAGAATGAATAATATTTCACTGACCAATCCTTCTTTTAAAGATTTACAGAAAAATCCCACAGAATCAACCCACATTTCCTACATTCCCAATTTAGCAAGTCAAAGTTTCCTAACATAAGACGAATGACTGACGCAAATAAAGTCAAACGAATTTGCGAAGAGAGATGCACACATCTTTTTTTTTTTTTTATCTCTAAATCGGATAAACGTTTTCACGACCCAAAAAAACGCAAAACATTTCGAAGCTGACCTTCTCTCTTCCTCTTGCGATTCCAACAGCAGGTTCCTGACACGGCGTGGAAATTCTTCGAGTCGCTTCGTCCTGCGAAGTTGAGGCCGACCATCTTTGCCTTCAACAAAAGAAAAAAAAAGAAATAGATATCTGCATATGGATCTATATATATTTGTCATCTACTTTCACTTGCACTAGCAAAATAAAATCGTGAGGTTTCCTTTCCTCTTGTACCTTCCTCCTCTTTATTTTAGCGCCTCTCCTATCACTAGGCCTTTCTATCTCTTTTCCTTTTTATTTCCTTTTTCGCTCTTCCTCCCCCGTCCTTCCCATTCCCATTTGATGGATATGGTAGATGATGGAGATGATGGAGATGAGGGAGGAGAATGGAGATGGAGATTATGGAGGAGATGGAGATGATGGAGATGATGGAGATGAATGGAGATGATCGGAGATGATGGAGATATGGAGATGATGGAGATGATGGATATTATTTGCTATGATGGATATTAGGGCGATGATTAGATGATGGAGATGATGGAGAATGATGTAGATGATGGAGCTGCTGGCCATGCTGGCGCTGCTGGCGCTTCTTGGCGCTGCTTGGCGCTCGGACTGCTGGCGCTTCTGGCGCTGCTGGCGCTGCTGGCGCTGCTGGCGCTGCTAGGCGCTGCTGGCGCTGTGCCTGCTGGCGCTGCTGCGCGTGCCTCGGCGCTGCTGGCGTGCTGGCGCTGGCTGGCGCTCCTGGCGCTGTGCTGGCGTAGCTGGCCTGCTGGCGCTGCCGGCGCTGCTGGCGCTTGCTGGCCTGCTGGCGCCTGCTAGGCGCTGCGGCGCTGTGGCGCTTCTGGCGCTGGTTGGCGCTGCTGGGCTGCTGGGCTGCTGGGCTGCTGGCGCTGCCGATGGCGCTGCTAGGCGCTGCGTGCCTGCCTGCGCTGCTGGCGCTGCTGGCCCGCTGCTGGCGCTGCCTGTGCGCTTTTGCTGGCGCTGCTGGCGCTGCTGGCGGCTGCTGGCGCTGCTGGCTCTGCTGGCGCTGCTGGCGCTCTGGGCGCTGCTGGCGCTGCTGGCGCTGCTTGCGCTGCTGCGCGCTGACTGGGCGCTTCTTGCGCTGCTGGCGCCTGCTGGCGCTGATGGCGCCTGCTGGCGCTGCTGGCGCTGCTGGCGCCTCTGGGCGCTGCTGGCGCTGCTGCGCGCTGCTGGCGCTGCTGGCCGCTGCCTGGCGCTGCTGGCGCATGCTGGCGCTGCTGCGCTGCTGGCGCTGCTGGACCTGCTGGCGCTGCTGGCGCTGCTTGGGCTGCTGGCGCTGCTTGCGCTGCTGGCCATCTGCTGGCGCTGCTTTCGCCTGCCTGGCGCTGCCTGGCGCTGCTGGCGCTGCTGGCGCTGCTCGCGCATGCTGGCGCTGCTGGCGCTGCTGGCGCTGCTGGCGCTGCTGGCGCTGCTGGCGCTGCTGGCTCTGCTGGCCGCCTGCATGGCCTTCTGGCGCTGCTGCGCTGCTGGCGCTGCTGGCGCTTCTGGCCGTCTGGTCCTGCTGAGCTCTGGCGCTGCTGGCGCTGGCCCTGCTGGCCGCTGGGCTGCTGGCGCTGGCGCTCTGGCGCTGGCGGCTGCTGGCGCCTGCTGGCGCTGGCTCTGCTGGCGCTAGCGCTGCTGGCGCTGGGCCGCCTGGCTGGCGCTGGACGCTGCTGGCGCTGCGGCGCTGCTGGCGCTTCTGTCCTCTGCCTGGCGCTGCTGGCGCCCTGCTGACGTCGCTTGCGCTGCTGGCTTTCTCTGTGCGCTGCTGGCGCCTGGCGCTGCTGGCGCTGGCGCTGCTGGCGCGGGCGCTGCCCTGGCGCCTGGCTCTGCCTGGCGCCTGGCGCTCTGGCGCTGGCGCTGCGGCGCTGGCGCTGCTGGCGCTGGCGCCTGCTTGCCTCCTGGCGCTGCCTTGCGCTGCTGGCGCCTTCTGGCTGCTCCTGGCGCTTCTGGCTCTGCTGGCAGCTTGCCTGGCCGCTTCTGGCATGCGCTGGCGCTCTGGCGCTGCTGGCGGCTGCTGGCGCTGCATGGCGCTGCTGGCGCTGCCAATGGCGCTGGCTGGCTCTGCTGGCGCTGCTGGCGCTCTGGCGCTCTGGCGCCTGTGTGCGACTGCGGAGCTGGCTGGCGCTGCTGGCGCTCCCTGGCGCTGCTGGCGCTGCTTGGCGCTGCTGGCGCCACTGTCTGGCGCTTCTGGCGCTTCTGGCGCCTGCTGGCGCTGGCTGGCGTGCCTGGCGCTGCTGGCGCTGCTGGCGCGTCTGGAGCTGCTGGCGCCTGCTGGCGCGGCCGTGGGCGGCCTCTGGCGCTTGCTGGCGGCGCTGCGCTGCTGGCGCTCGCATGGGCGCTGCTGGCGTCTCGCTGGCGCTGGCGCTGCTGGCGCTGGCCGCTGCTGGCGCTGGCGCTGCTGGCGCTCTGGCGCCTGCTGGCGCTGCTGGCGCTGCTGGCGCTGCTGGCGCTGCGGCCATGCTGGCGGCGCCCTATGGCGCTGCTGGCGCTGCTGCGCCTGCGGGCGCTGCTGCGCTGGCGTGCTGGCGCTGGCGCCTGCTGGCGCTGGCGCTCCGTCGCTGGCGCTGCTGGCAGCAGGCGCTGCTGAGCTGGCGCTAGCTGGCGCTGGCGCTGCTGGCGCTGGCCGCTGCTGGCGCATTCTGGCGCTGCTTGCTGCCGCTGGCGCTTCCTGGCGGCGCTGGCGCTAGCTGGCGCTGCTGGCGCTGCTGGCGGCGCGGCGCTGCCTGCGCTGCTGGGCTGCTGCGCTGGCGCTGGGCAGCTGCTGAGCTGCCTGGCGGACGCTGCGCTGCTGGAAGCTAGCTAGAGCGCTGGCGCCTGCTAGGCGCTGGCGCTCTGCTGCGCTGCCTGGCGGCGCTGGCGCTGCTGGCTCTGCTGGCGGCTCTGGCGCTGCCTGGCGCGGCTGGCGCTGCGGGCGCTGGCGCTATGCGGCGCTGGGCTGCTGCGCTGGCGCTGGCGGTGGCGCCTGCTGGAGCTGGCGCTGCTGGGCCTGGCGCTGCTGGCGCTGCCATGGCTCTGGCGCTGCCTGGCGCTGGCGCTTCTGGCGCTGGCGCTGCTGGCGCTGGCGCTGCCCGGCTGGCCGCCTGCTGGCCTGCTGCTGGAGAAGACACCCCCACGGTGACCCCTCTGGCGCTTTTTTCCGTCTCAAGGGGGCGAGGGCGAGGCGGGCGCGAGCGAGACGCAGGACGTTTGAAATACACAGGCACGCACTCTCTATTTCCCGGTTTTAATCTAGGTGGATTTAAAATTGACACTAAGTGCAGTATCTCGCAAGTCTGATATCGTCGTTATCCGGAACCAAAATTGAAGAAAAGATGTTCCAGGATGCAGATTCCTTTAGTAACAACGAATCAACATCAGATTGAGCAAAACTGGATTCCGTTGGTATTGCTATTCTGTTTGTTGTTTTTTTGTTTTGTTTTTTGAGTAGGTTTTTAAGCATTTTAATAATAGATAAACAATACAAGGGATTGCTGCTTTCCTTTCTGAACAAAATCTCCAAAATTCACATTCCACTTCGAGCTGCTTACCCCCCCCCCCCCCCGGCAAACCCTCCTATGGCAAAGGATTCCAGATTGATTGATTGTTTCGGCGGTAATT